ACTCATGAGAAATGTTAATCTTTTAGTTCTTCATATTATCGAGCTATAGAATTTCTGATTCGTGAAAAGAAAATCACATATTTATAGAGAGTGGTAGTACACGATGTGTTTGGTGAATTCAATGCATAAAGAAATTAATGTTGGCGGAATAGTTAGACTTTTAATCTGAGGATCTGCGTTAGAGCAGTGAATAGTATTCCTCTTTTATGCGAAGGTCTTTCATTCAATGATGATGTTTCTTTGTGTTTGTTTTTTTTACTACTAATTTAAGGTTTTTTGTTAACTTTGTCTCTAGTTTATTGAAAGTTTTTATAAAAACAAAAAAGCAAAGAAAATGTTTAAATGTATAAATTTTCAAAAGACAACAAAATCAGATACAATATTAAATAAAACTTTCTGACATCAATGAATATGATAGTCAATAAAAAAGAGTATGAAGTGCAATTCATTATAGAATCAATGTTTTCAAATAACATTTTTGCTACTTCTTCATCTCTTCTTGTATTTACATGTATCGAAGTTAATTTTAAACAATCAGAGATAAAATTTGACAAAATATAGACAACGCGGTATGGGTTTTTCATTATGTTTTCGGTAGAATAAGATTGTATTAAATGAAAGATAAAAATATGCCGATTATATGTAATTTTTTTGTTATATTATATGAAAAAAAACACGTGGAGTGTTCAATCAAATGTATTTATATGAAAATTACTAAATTAAGCACCTGTAATCAATATTAACGGAAAAGAAGTTTCTTTTTAATAGGACAATGCGCTGTTGATTTTCTTCAAGCAAACCAAATTCTATAGCTCGATAATATGAAGAACTAAAAGATTAACATTTCTCATGAGTACAACAAATATCTAAGAATGCTCTCAAAAAAACAAATTCGTTTTTCTATCGTATTTTCGTAAAATTGCTGATTTTTTAATATTGTATATTATGACCCATATAGAAGCGAAATTCAAATATCCATAAATTTTGAAGAAAGGGCCCTGAACCCAAATCCTTTTACGGTTTTTAGTAGGGCACTATGTAGTATCTGTGGACAAAAATTCATTGAAATCTGAGGGTTACATCTGGAGAGGTTCTCTCGTAAGTTTCGTATGACTAAGTATTGCAACTAACATTGACAATGAGTTCATGTTATGCTCGTTTGTTACAAATGAAGAATAACCCTACAGGATACAGTCATATCTGCTGTACGATGTCCAAAATTCTCTCCCCTCTCTGCGATTAATCTCAGATGCCAATCAAATATTTTCAACAAACTGTACAAACTCACAATGAGATTCCTTTTCTGTGAGCACTGCTGTGTCGCCATAATTGTAGTTTCCAGTAATACAAATCACAAACTTTTTCCAAGATGCAGTTCATCAAATAGATTCAGAATCTAATCGACTCCGAGCCTGAGTCTAAAATCTTTCTGTTGACCACAGTCAGATCTGGATCCAGGTACAAGTCCTCGAATTCAGACCTGACGGGTTCTAGCTGCACGTAAGAGCCAGTTATAACTGGGTTATTACGAGATTACCGTTAAAATTGTTTGAAAAATGTGTACGATGTGTTGGTCACCGAAAAATTAATCGAAAAAAATGTAGTATCTTTTAAATAATTATCAGATCGGGAGTAAAAAAATTGCATTGAGAGTGCGAGGATTACGAACCCGGCTTCGGATCCAAGAATTTTGCATCCGATGGACTATATCTGAAGCTCACTATTCAATCAAAAACAAAAGTTTAAGTGACTCTTTGAATACAAGTTTTTTGTCACAAGTTGTAAACTCATCTCTGATCTGCACTAATGTTATGCATTAAAAAATTTGAGTTCGAAATAAACAGTATTAATTGTGTTTTATTTGAATGGTATAGCATAAAAATTACCTCCTCTATTTTTAACCTGTTGGTAAGGCTCCTATTAAAAATATTGAGCCTACCCTAGATTCAAACCGTTCCGCCGCCCCTGGACATAAGCTATACTTACTCTTTCTTAAAGATAGCAGTGGATGAATAATATTGCACTCTTAAAACACTGGAAAAATATAGTTGTTAAACAATATTGACTTACAGGATCTTTTTATCGCAACGAATGAGAACAGTAGATAGTTTTAAATAAAATGAGTTCTTTTTTTTTCCAAATGAGCAACACAATGATACAAGTTTTTTTAAATAAATTTTGCAACGTGGTGCGCTTGTGAAACTCATATTTCTATTGGTTGAAAAAAATCTCCTCTTTAAAAAAAATCTTGAACGCTGCAAAAAATTACCATACACATCATTCTCCTGCATGAACAGGCACTATCGTAAAAACTACAGGTTCTTTCTTTTTCTATTTTATTCAACAAAAAATTTATTTCATTTTGCTTGAATAGATATTTTTCAAGTAACTATAAAGTGTAACTAAGTACCTTCTATGTAATCAAATATCATATGAAAAGCTTCTTTATTGAATTTCCAATATTCTATAGTAGTTAATTAGTTAATCTGAATAGTAGCTATTTAATTTCAATCACTTTTTTATTAGAGACCTACTGCAATTACATACATCATATTTTCTTTCTTCTCTTTGTGAACATACCATTCATGTGAAGACAAATAGGCACAACATTAGCTTTTCAATACTAAAGTGGTCTAAAAATAATAATTAAAGTAAGAGAAGTCAGCATTTAGAAATTACTTTTTAACGTATGACGTTACTTTTTTTCATTTAAAAAATTACTTCTATACTTTAAGGGTAAAGGAGTAAAAATTAATATAGAAATAATTGAATATAAAACTGCTACGAAGAATATAATAGATTTTTTAACAAAAATCTAATTTATACACGTTTCCGATAAGAAATTCTCATCATCATCAAAAACAATAGAAAAGTGAAAAATGCAATCTGTATAGTGTAACTGACCCTAATTACATCACCGTTTTCAACTCTTTTCGTAGAAATTCAATGTCTTGGCTTCCCTACGTCCATTTGAGCTGATGTTTTGACTTCGTAATAGAGTAAACATTACTCTATTCATCCGCATGCTTTTTATCGAAAAATAATGAGATTTGAATGAGCAGTAACTACGACAAGAAGACCTAATCCAAAATTTGCATCATTGCAGCAAAAATGCATAAAACTACTGGTAAAAACATATTTTCGGTCGTAAAACTGTAACTTTTTAAATTAAAACTTATATCATTACATTCGTTGCATCGACTTCTATCGATTAATATTGGTGTGGGTGTAGGTGTGGATGTAATATGTCGGGTGTGGGTATGTGTGTGTGGCTGTGGGTGTGGGTGTGAATTTTAAATTTTTTTCATTGTCCTACCCACACCCACACTCACCCTTCGTGATATCACTAGCATATGTTACTTTTTGGCATAATGAGGCTGATTTGTCTCCTTTATGAGACTAAGTTCCCGGGCGTTTAGAGATAAGCTTTCGTAAAAGGAAGTAATCTAGTTGGTGTAGAATTTGACGCTCTTTCTTATGGTACCCTTGAAAAAAAAATACGTCTGGTTTTATATGAAAATAAATTTTTTTTCACAAGTTTCTTACAAAATACCTTATCTTGACTATCTTTATTTTACCTTTTCACAATTATTAATGTCTTCAAAGTTTGTTGTCAATAAATATGTGGACTATACAACTTTTAATGCTCTATCTAATGGTATAGTTTAAATCTAGTTTTATTATATTAAACAATTGGAAACATTTTTTTTGAGCTAAAATAGAGTTATTGTGAGATATGGGTTTTCCACCCTTTAGTTTCTTCGACCATAGAAAAGTTAAAGTATAGCTTATATAAGTCTATATTTTTTCAGTAGATAACTAATCATCTCCTCTTTCGAATAGATACTGACAAGATTTTTTTTGACTTAAAAAAATGAATATTAAGGCAATACTTTTATACTCCAGAGAGGGGGGAGGTCTTATAATTATGCAACGAGTGAAATTCAAAATTTCTTGAATCTAAATATTATTAATATTTAACCAAATAGAGATCAATATAGCACATGATAGATGCTTTAATGGTATCTATATATGTGGCATTAGATTCCTTATCAAAGCTTCTTTAGTTGCTGAAAACTTTATTATTCTCAAACTTGTAGGGGGGAGAGGGGGGGTCTTATAATTCTGGGAATCCCTGTATAATTGATTGATCAATAAATTCTGCTTAATGAATTTAATTGATAACTACTAATTGAAGGAATAATCATTTTTGCTTGGTAATGCCACTTAATAACTACTTCGAGCCTATTATAATTAGTAGAATAATTTATTCAAGATTGGTAATGGGTTAGTTTTTCTAATTCTTCATTATTAAGATTAATACATGGGATTTCTGAAACAGCAGTAAACCTATATTGAATTCTATCAAATACATTTGAATAGGAATCGAATGGTGATAGAATTGATAATTTTTTAATAATAGTTACTGATCATATTCAGAATAACCCGATGCACGACGTGCTGCTTGTTGTTATGTTACTGTTAATTGTATTGAAGACAATGGTTTTTATCTTGAGCTATAAAATTGATCTTGAAATTTGTCTTAAATTGGGTGGACAATATCATATTTAAGGTCAAAATATGCTTTTGATGGTCTTTTATTGTTAAACCAATTTTTAAAAATTCTTAACAATATTTATCTTAAATTTATTCTCTAGATAAAAATAATTGCTCTTTATTGATATGAATTTTGAATTTCATCACTAGTATTTTTCAACAAACTTTCTATTTTGTATTTTAATGTTCAATATTTAATTTGTATCTACCATTTTTAATTTAAAATTTTTTTAAAAATAGTAGCGAAATATATTTATTTTAATGCTGGCATTGGTCATCATTATTGTCCATAGATTGTACTCTTGAATATTATTTCTTGTTGTTATTAATAATTAATCTTTATATAATAATTCTAATATGTAGTCAATTTCGTTTTTATCGACGTTTGAATTTTCATTAAAATTTTTATTTGGTTGTTTATTCCAAGAATTATTTTTTGTTATTTAATATTCCTTAAATGGTTCATTAAATAAAAAACTAAGAATTAAAATTTAAAAAATTGGCAATATCATATTCGAATTCAAAATATAGTTTTGATGGTTTCATTTTTACAATTAATTTTGAAAAAAATTTTTTTCATTCAATTAAATGGTCATAGGAAGTTATCCAAACACGCTAGCCGAAGAAGTATGGTTCACTTCATATAGAAAAAATCGACCAATCAGAATCGAGTCCACAGTTTACCTTAACCTATAAACTTCTCTCCTTTCCTGTGTACATCTTGAAACAAACACTATGCCACTGTTAAGTCATTATTAATTAATTAGTACTCATCTTGATTACTACTAATTATGTGAGTACTAAACTAATTAGCGCTAATTAGTCTAGTACTAATTACAGTAAGCACTCCTGTATTCGAGAGGTACCTTTAGGTCCTCAACTCCTATATTCTAGCGGTACCTTTCGGTCCTCAAGTCCTATATTCCAGAGGTACCTTTAGGTCTTCAAGTCCTATATTCTAGAGGTACCTTTAGGTCCTCAAGTCCTATATCCCAGAGGTACCTTTAGGTCTTCAAGTCCTATATTCCAGAGGTACCTTTAGGTCCTCAAGTCCTATATTCTAGAGGTACCTTTAGATCCTCAAGTCCTATATTCCAGAGGTACCTTTAGGTCCTCAAGTCCTATATTCTAGAGGTACCTTTAGGTCCTCAAGTCCTATATTCCAGAGGTACCTTTAGGTCCTCAAGTCCTATATTCTAGAGGTACCTTTAGGTCTTCAAGTCCTATATTCCAGAGGTACCTTTAGGTCCTCAACTCCTATATTCTAGCGGTACCTTTAGGTCTTCAAGTCCTATATTCTAGAGGTACCTTTAGGTCCTCAAGTCCTATATTCCAGAGGTACCTTTAGGTCTTCAAGTCCTATATTCCAGAGGTACCTTTAGGTCCTCAAGTCCTATATTCTAGAGGTACCTTTAGGTCCTCAAGTCCTATATTCTAGAGGTACCTTTAGGTCTTCAAGTCCTATAT